AGGAGAGGAGAGGAGAAGAGAGGAGAGGAGAGGAGAGGAGAGGAGAGGAGAGGAGAGGAGAGGAGAGAGGGATAGAGAGAGAGAGAGAGAGAGGGAGAGGGAGAAAGAGAGAAAGAAAGAGAGAGAGAGAGAGAGAGAGGGAGAGAGCTAAAAAAGAAAAAGAGATACATAAAACAGACAGAGGAAGGAGGGATGGGAGAGAAATATTGCGAGCAGACACGAGCGGGATATTGGACTATGGACACCACAGCCTATTGAAGGTAATATTGCCAAGCTCCATGAAGTCCCCGGCCCAATCGGGTACCAATCGCCTGTTCCTCTGATGCAAATATGGAGGCAATGGTTACGCCAGTGTGATGAAACAGCAGGGGGGTGGAGGGTGATGTCAGTGACAAACTAACCATGATCAGCAACAGCAGTTGCCAGAGCTGCTACTTCGGCGGCGGCGGCACGTATCAGAGGTAGCAATGGATGTGGCAATCTGCCCCTTTGACCCTCCGTGGCCTCTCTCTCTCTCTTTCTCCTCTGTCCTATCAGTCGGCAGTACAGATTGAACACATAACTTCGACCACCGCGGATACAGCAGGCCGACTCAACTTTGACTCAACTGGAGATTGGATGGACATTGGACACGTGACTTTGCCATTCCCCCATCTTCACTCCGCTCCCTTCCCCTCGAACATCACCGTACCGTTAATCCTCCATCCCTGCAATGTTTTTCCACCATTTCACCACTCTCTTTCCAACATTTCTGCACCGTATTTGCAAGCCGTCCCGCCCCGTCCCGACCGATCGGTCGATTAGCTGGTTAGCAGCGGACCCCAGGTCACCGACATTTGGTGTAGCACCCGACTCTGCTCGGCAACAGACCGGTGCACGCATATAAATGAAAACACACGCAACCGAGCTAATACACTGCCGTATTGCATAATGTCTGGGCATGACGCACGCGATACAGGAGGGAGGGATGGAGAATTGTGCAAACTTCTGGACTATTTTTCATTATTTGTATACCGGCGAACTGTTGGAATTTTAGAAGCCTGTAGCAACAAGCAGTAAGCACTGCAGAAATGTGTGATATCGGATAATTCAGCGCCATATTAGCAGGGGCGCGGGAACTACTTTCCGACTGGGGGGGCACACCATAATAGAGATTAACCTAGGGTACCCCCAAATCTAGTTTTCTCACCGGTTTTAGGCCACTTATTTTTCACCCCTCGGCTTTTTCAACAACAAAAAAAGCAAACATTTGCAAAAAAGTGTGATATTCCGTCTCAAAGCTGTGGGGGCACCGCCCCCACGGCCCCAGAGTTGGGGGGGCAAGCTGCCCCCACTGCCCCCCCGGCTCCCGCGCCTATGCATATTAGAGAAAGAAGGCGACGCACAATGAATACTAAAGACAAACGCTGATCGGACTTGCTAACAAAATCCACGTACAATGTATCAGCAGGTTTTGTGCCATCTCTGTGCTCATCTCTCATCTCTCAAACTAACACATTTCACCCCCCCCCCCCCACTAAAAACGTCAGCAAATGAGCCAGTCACTTTCAATAAGCCTCATGGTGGAGAGATGTAGAACGATTACAACCTTCATCCTCCACAGACGGAAGAGGAGACCACACCGGAAGGAAATGGCCAAACACGCAGTCAGGAAGGCCCAATGCGATGTTTGATAGTCAAATAATGCTTCTAAACAAGCTCACGACGGAATACTAAACACGAAAGCGGTGCAGTAGCGGAGCTTCAACGAGAGCGAAAATAAAACTTTCCAGGGTGGACATTTTATCTAACGAAGTGGTGTTGTAACGACGGTAGGGTTTCACGGTGGTGAGACCTGCAATATGTTGGACATCTCACGGTACTTAGCTTTTCACGAATACCGAACATAGCAATGTTAAAAGCCTTTCAGTGAGCAGCGTAGCCTAAAGGAAACATTACTGAACATTTTGTCTCAGGACATTTTGTCTCGGGATATCAACTCAGGGTGTGCAGTGCTTTGGTAGCAGTTTTCGACCCACAACCAATAAATATGTGCTCGATTTCACTGAATTTTAATTTCATGTATCGGTTTGCCAACGTCGATTCATGACCTGAATAATCATAATCCACACAGGATAAATCTTGCGAACAACAAGTAACCTGCAATGAATGTTCCTAGACAGGGGTGCGGAGTCGATGGACTTTAGGTGACACCGACAACGACTCAGACTCGGGATGCGGAGTCGAAGGATTTTAGTCGACACCGACTACGACTTAGACTCAGAGGCCCCGACTCCAACTCCACAGCCCTAGTTCTAGCTGGTATGCCAATGTTATGTACCCGTATTATACATCACTCCAAGCAATAACTAAGGTCCGCGCCACACCGCACCTCGAACGGTTCCCTGAGTGGAGCATCCCCGTTGATTACGAAAACATCCGCGATTCTTGCCGAGTTCGATGGGGACAATCGTTCGCCACATTCCAGCACAAATGATTCCGCATTCCGATTGGAGGCAATCGCCACTGAGTCGGTTCCAAACTTAGAGACAAATGAACTTTGCGATGAACACAGCGATAGAACAACGATTCCATTCTGATTCCATTAGGTTGTAGAACGACGGAGCGTTTATGCTCAGACGGAACGAACTCTTCATCTGCTTCATCCAATCAAAATGTGTCATACAGAGCCACACAACAATTTAACTCCGATACCCACACTACAAGCACAAACAATTATCATCGCATCCGTTTACAACTTCACAAAATTCAACAAACACAATGAGCCCATTAATGAAGGACACCGCAGTTGACATTACATAACTCCTTTCCTGGAAATGATGCAAAGAGCTGTTTGAAAACACGCCGTAACCCGCTAGCCATGACTCACGCCAGGTACTACGTGCAATGACCAAGACGTCATCATCTAGACACGGTGACGTCACGGAATCCCACGGCGCAGCCCGGCGCCGGGTCATCGGGCTGCCTGGAGCCGAGAGCTCGATACCAAGAGACGCCATGGAAGTCGTTGAGAGCCAGGATACCATGGATGGTTCAAGTTCAGGCTGGGTTTGACTCACAAGGAATAAAAGATCGGAAAAAAATTGGCATACCTAGACCCTAAATCATTAATTCAAACATGATTGCAACACTGGATGAGTGACACATGTCAACAGCTGAGGGACATACCACCCAGCCTTAAACAAAAAAAAAAAAACTTTTTGAGCATGTTGAGCGTATGCTGATATATAAAAAGTTTGATGACATGAAGACTGGGGACACTTTTAGGAAATTCAAAAGCAGAGCAGTGAACAAAAATGCATTGTTAAAAAATATTTTGATGCCAGCAGGTAACTCCGATAAATATTTGGGTACTACTGTACGCATCCAATTTTGTGCATGAACATCAGTCTCAAACAATCCTATTCAAAACATAAAAAGCATGAATGAATTTCAGATTCCCTTAATCCCAATAAAAAAAAACAAAAACAAAAAGGAAACAGCTAGACTCTCAAAAACTCATTGCTGTAAAAAGATGTGTGTGCACAGCCATGCTGGCTAAAATGTGTCCAGCATCTCTAAATTTTGGAGGAATCTAAGAGGTTGATACTGAGCTGATATTTACATGACAAGTATGCTTCATCAGTTGCCTGTCTGTCATTTTGATGTTGGTGATTTCAATGCTAACTACAGCTAAAATGAACAATAAACTAGGATAACACAACATTGGACGAATTTGCTCAACATAGATTCATATCAGAGTTGAGACTTCAGAGCAGGAGTTGGGGACTGGTGAAGCAACATAGGTAACTCCTATACACAGCATGCATTTTAAGCTGACACATTTAGCTGGCCTTACCTGATGGTGGCAGTCGGGGAAGGCAGAGGACTGGCAAAGTTGTTGGGCTCGATCTCTGGGATGTTAATCCGCAGAGGGTTGAAAGGCTGGCTTTCAGGCTCATCCTCCACCAATGAGGAGAATGTCAGCCGCAGGCTGGTGCTGGGAAACCGGATCACGCACCTGCAACAGAGGCTCAATAAATACACTAATACCACATCCAGCAGGTAGGCATACTGCATCAGGAGTTATGCTCATTATAAATCATCAAGTGTGCTAAATATCAGCCTTTTTGAAGATTTTTTACATGATGAGCATTAATCATTATAATAAGTTGTTGATTGAATAGTGAATACAAGCACAAAAATGCAAATGTGATGACAACTTTGAACTTCAAGTCATGGCTCTATACCTATTCAATATTTCCCTTCAGCCTCAAATTTATGTGAGCATGAAGTGCATAAGTCCCTTGGAACCCAAAATATATTTGTCCACTGCATTAAAAGCATGAACGCCCAGGAAGATCATGCTTGCAGCATGAATGTGTGCATCACAGAGCCATGCATTCTGATACAATTTGGGAGAGGTTAGGGAACATCATATTTTTGTGAGAACATCAGGGCATTGCAAAAATACTTTTTATTACAATCCATACAATAAGCTGCGATAATCAGCCATTTAAATCACCTAAATCAATCTCTAAGTGGGTCAATAACAGTGCCACAATTGCCCTAGTGCGCCATAATCGAAACGGCGTGGTTTGTTTACAAACTTACCGACTCGGCAGTCGCAAAGGAGGGGCCGATTTTCGCTGAAATCCGCCATCCACGAATATTCCGTTCTTGCCATTGCACTTCAAATAGAAAAAGGGGTTCTCAAAAGTTATTTCAAGATGAACACGTGAGATAAAACTCGAATGACCCATGTCAACATCCACCTCTCCTCGGGTGCTGTTGCGGCCGATGGTCACCCTGTTCCGCCGGACCCAATACTCCGATTCTCGCCATTCTAGCTTCGCAATGGCTGGCTCTTGTTCGTTGTTGTCCCACCGCATTCTTGCCGGACTTGCAGGAGCACTTCTCAACGCTAAAAGAGCCCACGCATCACTATCAGTGGGCTCAGCAAGAGCAGCCATCTCTCCGCGATCACAACACAACACGTGAAGGAAGTCGGCGTTGACTCATGCGCAGTTACTGATATTTTCTGTTCACCAAAGGGTAGCATAAAACGTGAGAAAATGACGTCATAATATGTTTTTTTTGGCAAAAGTAGCAGAACTACGCCTTTTTTAAAAATAACCATAGCCTAAAACAATCCAAATTATTAAATATGACAATTTATAGGCCTTTTGATCATTTTTACTTGGATAAACAAAACAATTGGGAGGCGAACTGTTTTGATAAGTGAATTTACTGTTACAGTGTTTATTTCAAGTTCATGCCGATATTTACCAACAAACCTTATCATTTCTTATATGTTCGTCTTCCTCACGCTTAAAAAATGAGCAATATTAGGGCTAGAAATCTTTTTGACACAATTATGGTATTTTTACGTCATATGTAGTTCAACGGAAATGATCGTATGTTCGTGAGTATATGGTCATCGAATTTCCCAGAATGTATGTAAACAAATGAGAGGTAAAAAGAGGCGACAAATTAGAAGAAAAAGAGTAATGCAATTAGCGCCGGAGTAAATGTTTCTTTTTATCCCATTATGCAAGATTCTTCCAACATTATGAACCCACAGAACCATCGTGGTGACAACGACCATGGTAACTGGTGCCTGAGTGTGCCGTACGAATGGTAAACATTCCGTTATTTGTAGGCATGTCCTCCTAGATCCTAAGTATAGAGCCCGGTTAATCGGCTCTTAACTCTTCAAGAACCCCGACGTGGCGCTCGAGCCATTTTCTACCTGAAAAAGGTTAGGTGCTCGGCTACTTCCACAACGTCAACTTCCCCCGGTGGCCGAAAAGGTTGACATCGGCACGGTCTTGGGCACGGTGGGGAACCAGAAGAACTGCACTGCCGAGCCATCTAGCGGCGGTTTTTAAACTACCCGACAGATGTCGCAACAGATAGATACCACCAGTGACTGCTCTGTAATCGGGGATATTTTCGTCGGGTTGTGAGGGCAAAATCAAGCGTGATGCGTGTTGTGAGTGGCGGGCTGGAGAACCAGAACGCATGGAAGGTCAGTCCGTTGTATGATTGCTTCCAGCGGGAAAGGCGTGCCCGCCGGGTGAAAGGCAGCGGCTGGCCGGCACCTGGGACTCGCGGGCCCACCTCTCGAGGCATTTGCCGGTGAGGTGTCGTCGGGGCAACACCTTTCGGTAAGCGATCTTTTCCCTCCTAAATTAACGCCGCAGCGCCCAGGCGCTGCGGAAGTCCCTGACATATGTCCTGGATTTTATTTGGCTCTCGTCCCGCCACAAATAATTGGTGGGCACTGGGCACAACCGTTTTCCTACATTCAGTACCGTCCCGGCTGAATTAGGTATATTACATCGGCGCGGCAATGCAATGTAGCGTATTACATAAAAGCGTAAAATTTTTAGTACCTAGGTCCTAGGTACCTTTTCTCCATCAAGTTGACATCTTCTGGAGTAAGAAACTGGACCCAACTACCTTGATGATAACGTGGGGTCGATTTTGCTGGACCTTGCACAGGAAATTTCGACGTCCATATATAGACATCGGGGCATCACCGACGGGGGTGATCACTACCCCGGTGTTGGTCACTCATCACTCCCCTCCGCGCTTTTTGAATCCGGGAGTGTCGACTCCCGCACTTTTTGCTATGTAGATTTTTTATGTAATTATGCCTGCACAATTAAGGTCAGCGGCATTAACAAATACATACATTGTCAGATTCAGAATGCCTCAAAAGCTCTTTTTCAGGATGAGAGCGGACAACACGAACATTAAAATTTTTTAAATATAGGTATCCGCGTTGGCCCTTTTTTGCTCCTTGAAGATATGAACTCGTCTAACCCTCGCTGAACCTATCGGTTTTCTAATTTCACGGCCGAGGGTGGGGGTTGGTACTTACATAGGGATTCGCTTAGCCCGGCCGGGCCCTGGGGGTGATTCCAACCACCGTAGCCCGGGGGACAATATTTACCCCCCCCCCCCCCGGCTAACTCCGTAAATATAGGACCTATGGAAACAAAAATGTTATCAAACGAAAGGTCAGGGTCAAGGTCAAAGGGAAAATACAGCAATGCGTAGTGAACTCAAGCGAAGTGTTCCAGAGGACGGCAGGATGCATGCAATGAGTTGCAACAGCCAACAGGCGCGAAACGACAGAGGAGCATCTTAGGAATCCAATGATGAGCTTCAACTTCGAGGTCAAGGTCAAGGTCACGATCAAATTAACATTGTGGTTAATTTTACGATAAAAGGCAGCCCCAAGGTCAAAGCCATGCAAGAGTGTCCTTGCTAGAGGCTATTTTACTTATTCAAGTCAGCCATAATGACTCAGCGATTTTTGCTATCCTGACGCTCTAAATGGATGCGTAGAGCAAAATAGATGCCAGATTCGTGATCAGCGGCTACGAACTCACCATAACCTTCGCCCCAGTGGGGGGGGGCATATGTTACCACCCTGTCGCGTTTTTTGCGTGTGAATAAAAAACCGCGGCGCGTAGCGCCGCGCCGCTTGGGGTAGCTTTTGGTACATCAATTTTGGACAATGTGTGAAATTTTTGACCCCAGGTCATGTCAGGTCAGGTCACCAGGTCACGTTAACTGACCAAGCCTAAAAAAAAGTTTGCAATCATGTCCAGCCTGCAGTGTTTGTCAGAAAGGTTTGAAACTTGGTGGATTGCATGCTGTTATGGTCGCCTACAATTTGTATATCTCGGATTTTTTATATCCGTGACCTAAGGTCAGGTCAGTGGCGTGACCTTTCCATTACAAGTCAATGGAGAAAAATGAGAATGCCTCTAGATCCTTGTGTACGCATCGGAACAGTCCAAATATTTCAGAATCACAATGATTTAGTCCACTCGTGATGACCTAGGTGTCATTTTTGCTGATAGCCTCTAGACAGGTCATCCGAGGTCACTTGAGGCTACAAACAGTTTTTTGCCAATAACTCGCGATTGGAAAGAGATAGAACGCTGGGGTTGGTCTCATTGTGTTTGTCGTGTTGAGACGCATCGACTGATATGCAACATGACCTTTTCCGGTAAGGTCATGACCTTGACCTGAGGTCAAATTTTCAAGTTGACCTTTCAAGGTCAAATTATAGTTCATTCGACGCGTCTCGGCGAGGGGAACATGATTCTGGCAATAGAAATGTCGTGGCTTTTTGTAGTCGAAAGTTATTGTCGAAAAACACTTTTCGTAAAAACAGCTATTTTTGGAGTTTTTGCCCTCTGGAGGCTAAACCGTTGACCTGAGGTCAATATTGATAATGACCTTTTCAAAAGAAGAGTTCAAAAGCTATCGATTGCATTTCCATGCGTTTTTCTAGCTACCATAGTTCCTGAGATAGCGGCTTGTTTTCTGAAAAATATCATGACAATTGGCAAATCTTGACCTTTGATGACCTGTGGTGACCCCAATATTGCTCTAAGGTGAAAAATGACTGATATACTTTCAAACATACGCATTGAGAGCTATCGACTGCTTTTTACCGCGTCTTTCTAGCCCTCTTAGTTTTTGAGTTAGAGGTGGGTGGTAACATATGCCCCCCCCCCTCACTAGGGCGAAGTTGGCTGAGACCGCCACTGGGGCGCGGGATAAAAGACCTTTCATGTGTAAAGGTCAACCAACGTTCATTCGAGGTCACAAGAGGTCAACATAAAAGTTGACCTTTTCTTAACAAATATATGTCATTCGACGCCTCTTGCTTGACAATACGAATGTGTTGGTACCACTGACTTAGCTCTAGGACCATTTTCGTCGAAGTTATTCGCGAAACAAAAAAAACTGAAATCTCAGCTCGGAGTCATTGACTTGACCTTTGACCTCAGGTCACCAAACATACTTTTTTACGAAAGTTATATGCTACACAATCGTGCTCCAAATTTACCTTTATCTCTACAACTCTATTTTTGGCAGCTGTTTGAAGTTCACGTCTGTGACGTGAGTCGAAATTTGCCGTGCAGAGGTCTAGGAAACAAGGAAAACCAACCCTGCGACGTCATTAATGGGCTGGGTCAATTGTTTTGCTTCATTAGATGTGAAGTTGATGGGGGAAAAGGTACTGAAAGTTTGGCTCTTCTATCCCTAAGCGCTCGGGAGCTGTCGCAAATATTCGTCAGGGGGGAGGAGTAAATGCTCTCCCCCCTCGGGCCCGCGAGCCCCTCAGGTCATGAAGTTAGTCGAATGAGGTCATATCGCATATCATTTGATTCGGCAGGTCTTCCGGAGTCCATTGGTGGCTTTGCCGACTCGCTGGCTCAATTTGATCGAGAGCTATTGACGAAAAACTCATATGAACTCACATCATAAATGACGTCACGCAAGGTCAACCATGCAAAAGTGAAAAATCGGACCTTGCAATGTGTGTATGCAGTATGAAATCACGATTTTATGTGCTTTAGGTAGTTAAAGGTAGTGTGCCACCTTCCAATGATTTCCCATTTTATTTTTCCTAGGATAAGAAGCTTCTGTTTTTACCTAATATCGTAAAAGAAATCAAAAATGGGCCTAAAATAGTGCTTTTTTCGCCTAAAAGTTTATCGGTTTTTCGATATGTATAACAACTGTAGTGGGCTGACCTGCAAACAGGCGTCGGCAACAATCGCGAATGTGGCGCACATGTGACAATAAGCAAAGGTCATTATAGAGTTACGACGTACGGGAATGAGTTATCAGCTGTCTAATCGTAGACAACACAATGTCGAATTTAAACTGTAAGCCTGTATTGGTATTGTTTCTTTAATTTGGCTGTCGTACATTAATTTATGGTTTGAAATATGATTTTATGTAAAATAATTGATATAAAACAGCCGTCTCTTAAATTATGACCCCATTTCACCACACGAAAGTGGCAGAAATGACAATGATCAGCTGACGCATTTTTCTTGGCCGAAGTCAGAGCGCGCGGCCCGACGCACCACCAGATCAGATTTTCAGATTTTTCAGATCAGATTTTTCTCGGGGTGTTGGCTTTGCAACGCCACCCCATCCGTATTATCTTCGTCTGATATTTTATCGATTCTTGTGATCT